GATGTTCTAGCCTCTACAATCACGTGAGCTGTTTCCTTGATATAATCTCTCTATATATATAGATACATGTATACACTTTACTGGTTTTGCTTCTCTAGAGAACCCAGCCTAAGACAGGGTGCCTCTGGGTGGACTCAGACTACTAACCTTTCAGTTAGCAGCCAGTCACATTAACTGTTTGCACCACCCAGCAACTCCACTAATATTTAAAACTCATTTATGAGGCCTATAAGATGGGTACTATCATTGTTCCCATCTTACATATGAGGAGATTGGGGCACAGAGAGGTTACACAGCTAGTAAATGACAGAGCCAGGAGTCAAATCCAGGCCACCTGACTCTGGATCTGTTATAACACTCCTCTCACATGATTCTGTCTGGGGTCTTACGTTTTTATACACCCCCTCCCTAAAGGAATCTCATAATCCCATGGCTTGAACCTTGAACCACCCCCTTTGTGCAGGTGATTCCCAAATGAGGAATCCCAACTCTGAAATCCTGTCCATTCTTCTGGCTCCAGGTCAATTAACAGCGTCAACAGCCAGTGTCAATCAAAGCTTGCATTTATCAAACACCTACTCCTGGCATCACACAAAGTGTTTTATGTTCATTTTTGCACCCCATCTCCCCATTACAGATGAGATATGGCATCGCAGAGAGGTTGCATGACTTGCTCAAAGTCACAGTTATTTAGTTGCAGAGGCAGGGGTCAACCCTGTCTGTAAAGGCCATCAAAATAATAGAAGCTACAAAGGATAAATATTGATTCTGGATGGTAACTGCATGATTCCACTTATATGAGATATCTAGAATAGGCAAATGCACAGAGACCAAAGTTTATTAGTGGTTACCAGGGGCAGGAGGGAGGGGGAAAGAAGGAGACATTGCTAAGGGGGCACTGAGCTTCTGTTAAGGGTGATCGGAAAATTTAGAAACAAACTGGTGATGGTTGCACAACATGAGGAATGTAATTAATGTCACTGAACTGTACATGTAAAAAATACTGAAATGGCAAATGTTTGTGTGTGTGTGTGTGCGTGTGTGTGTATTTACCACAATAAGAAAAAAAAAGAAACGACTTGAAGGCAAATGCCATGTCTCCCTCACCTTTGCAGCCCCTGGCACAACAATTTACATATGAAAGAAACTCAGTATATATTTATAGAATCATCTGGAGGTGGAGTCCTGGACACCTTCCGAGACAGAGTATGCGTAAATTTCAGTTATCCATGAAGTCTCTGCCCACATCACCCTGGGTGGAACAGGCAGTGTGATGCAATTAGTGGCAGATCAGGAATTAGAAGAGGATTCGAGTTCAAATAAAAAACAGAGGCACTTCCAGGCAACATGGCGCTATAGTCAGAAGCACCACGCCGTCCCTCCGCAGCAAAGATCAGAAAAACAGTCAAACAGAGTCACACGTCGATCCTGAAACCCTAAGCATCAAATGAAGAGATAAAGAACTCAGCTAAGCATCGAATGGAATAAGAAACTGACCAAGAACAGAGGTCCCTTATCAGCTTCTGCAGCAGGGATCTGCCATCTTGGACTCCTATCAGAGATCAGCAAACAGGGAGTACGAGAAAGCAGCTTCACAGAGCTTCCAGCAGGAGACAGAACAACTGGTAACCAGCGATATACGGTTTCCTACCCCCCACCCTTCTTCACTCCCACTTAGTCTTCTCTGCTTCCTGCACCCACAGTCTTTTGGCCGAGAAGCAGAAGCTTCACCTCGTGTCGCTTGGATTCCACCCGCCCACACTGGCTGGTTCCCTGAGTGCCTTTTATTGGCCGCTGGTGTTGCTTTTTTCCGCTTCTTTAGATTTCTTCCTTACCTCTCACCACCTCCCCCTCCTTTCTCTCAAATACCTGGCTCTGTGTGCCATCTTTGCTTCTTCCTGAAAGGCTGCGAAACACTGTTCGACTTTGAAACTGCTTCCCGGCCCGTGCCGCCATGCTGGTGGGACGCCCAGGGCTTTTTTGTTTGCTCTGATTTGTTTGTTTTCTGTTTCTTTTCTTGGCTTGGGAGCCCCTTCTAGCTGGGCAGTACCGCGAAGCTTGATGCTACTCCCTTTCTCTGCGCAGATGCACAAGGACATCCCTGAGGGCATTTCTTTTCTCTTGTTTTTTTGTTTGTTTGTTTGTTTTTTGTTGTTGTTGTTGTTTTGGGGTTTTTGTTTGTTTCTTTGTTTTGTTTTCTTCTCTCTCTTATTCCCTTTTTGTTTTTCTTCATTTCCAGTCTCTCAATTTATTCATTTTTTTCTTTTACCCTTTTTCTTTTTTTTTTTAATTTTTGTTTTTCCCCATTTCTCAGTCTCTCATCTCTCCACTCCAATAGCAAGCTCCCTGAGCACTCTTTTTTGTTTGTGTGTATGTTTTTGGCTCCTGTTCCTCTCTCCTCTCTCTCATCCTTCCCATGCCCATCTTAGCTCCACACATCACAATCTACCCCCTCTTTCCCGCCTACCTGCACCATGTGCTGAACATCACACTCCCAAGCAGCACAGACACAGCCTACTGGAACCTGCCCTGCACTGATTCCCAGTCCGCACTGTCAGCCCTGGTACGTGCCACAAACAACCCATCCCAGCAACTCCCCTTCAGCTGTACCATACCTGAGTGACCCTGCCCATTGGAGAAGGAGGTGAAAAGAATCGTTCCCACAGAGGAGCAAACAACAAACAATGCACAGCTTGCCTGCTCAGACATAACCAAATAAAACAAAAAAAGAGGATAAAACAAACAAATCTACAATCAATAAATGAGGAAAAACACTGAATACCCCAGACACACCAGACAATATCAAAACATTTACAAAAACAGGACAGGATGGTTCCAGTAGGCATCCAAAATAAAACACCAGGTGACCTTCCAGTAGAAAAAAAAAGGCAGTAGACCTAACTGATAGGGAATTCAAATCTCTAATATTCAGAATTATCCAAGAGTTGAAGCAAAAAGCAGACAAAAATGACAAAAAAAATAGACAAATTCATTGAAAATACAGACAAAAAAATGAAAGAATTCAAGAAAATAATACAGGAACAAAATGCTAAAATAAATTCACAACTAGAAATCATACAAAAACAGTAATTAGAAATCCAAAAGATAAACAAGATTTCAGAAATGGAGAGTGTCATAGAAGGGCTGAGGAGCAGGTTTGAAACGATGAAAGGATCAGTGAAATTGAAGACACCTGGATACAACTCTGAGGAAAAATCAGAAAAAAGAACAAAGAAAAATGAAGAAACCCTGAGAATTATATGGGATACAATCAAAAGCAAAAATCTGTGAGTGATTGGAGTTCCAGAACCGGGAGAAAACAGAAAACACAGAGAGGATCATTGTAGAATTGCTGACAGAAAACTTCCCCAATATCATAAAAAATGAAAAGCTGACCATCCAAGAACCTCAATGAACCCCATATAGGATACACCCTAAAAGAAAATCACCAAGGCATATCATAATCACACTCAC